ATCCTACAATGTCCGGGAAGAACCAGTTGTATGGGGGAAACGTCGAATGCTCAGAAGAAGACTTGAACTCAAATTTAGGCTCAAAAGCAAGTTTGAATTTATCTGGAGATATTGAACCAATTTTGCATATTGATGAAGACCCCATCCAACCAGTTCTCAGTCCTCAACTTCAGAGACGCAGATCTCAGAAGAGGAACCGAGGAGCAAATTCTGTGGAATCAGCGGAAAGTCAAGAAGCATTGAAAAGCCAACTTTATCTCGGCCGTGAAAAACCACCTCTTATTAGAATAATACACCAGAGGGCGGTGAGCTGTCTCTTATACACAATGAACAATTTATAGTTCCATGCCTTTGGAGATGTCAATTATATCAACATCGCCCTCTATAAATGCCAATATATAGTACTTTAATAAGCTAAGTACAAAACCTTATTATTTCCAGGGTTTGCTGTGTATTTAAGCAATATAAAGGAGGTACATATACATTTGACGTTAGTTTTGTATTAATTGGAAGTCAATAAATGATTTCACTTACGTTCTTACCTCTTTCGTTTGTTAATATACAGTAAAAGGCACAGGCAGGCCTACAACAAAACTAACTTAATTAAAACATTAATATATTTTTAATATGGCCCTCTAGATTGTCAAACAAAATGATTAACTGATACTACATTTTAATATCATTGTTTGTTTTAATAAGGAGTATATTATTGTTGTGAATATTTTCTTGAAAATCAAAACGATACTTTAATTAGGTAATTTGGTAGTATCGCGAATTCAATGGGATTTACTTTCAACAGTTGTCTGTGTTAAGTGAAGCGTAACCAGCGCTTCATCGATTTTTGCCATTCAGTTTCGGTGGCTACAAGTGCAGCGACAGCAGCTGATAAGAGTGTACTGGATACCTGACGACTCTAGAAAGTTGAATTTCTCTAGTCTTAAAACGGCAAGAAAATGCATATAGTTGTCAGTACTACATTTTTGATAATAATAATAATAATTTATTAGGAACTACACTTTTCAATCAGTGGCACACTTCTCAACAGAAGGTGCGTCAAAAACAATACAGTGGACAGTAAAGTTCACAAAAAATACTTATGCTAAGAAAAAGACAATTCAGATGCACATAAAGTAAATCAAAAGTCATATAAATAATACAGGACTAAAGTCAAAAACGTTCATTTTCTTTTTTGATTTCATTTCTCTTTTTCCATGCCCTTCTAGCACACTTTTTACAAAACATGTCAAATTTTTCTTCAATTTCTTTTGGAAGATTTAGTGAAAAAGAGCCAAGAGCATACGTCTTCTAATCAGTTGTTGAATTTATAAATTGGTTCCAAATAGGCCTAGGGGGCCTATTTGTATTTATTATTTCATGTTCAAGCTTTGCTAGTCCTTCCAATCCGATGTTATGGAGGAAAGGACTGTTTTCTGTTTCACATTTTGAGAAAACATGGGAAACACATTTAAGAGATTTAAAACGGAAATTATCAAAGTTACTATCCACGTGTAGTAAAGCCTTAAGTAAAAGTTTTGGCCATTTTTGTTCAAGATTACTTATCAGTACAAACGTGTTCTTTAAGTTTAGGCCCTATTCAAAATTAAGTTGGTCCCATTTCCGATGGGATAGGCTAATCAATAGTATCACATATTAATTTAAATAAATTTTCTGTTTCACATTTTGAGAAAACATTGGAAACACATTTAAGAGATTTAAAACGGAAATTATCAAAGTTACTATCTACGTGTAGTAAAGCCTTAAGTAAAAGTTTTGGCCACCGATGTGATTCCATATGTATTGCGATGAAAATATTTTATGCGCGAAATATCGGCAGCCAATATTATTGGCAGCCAGCCAAGTTCACTATACATAATTGCCATAATTTATAGATGGGAGATCAATTAATTGTTCTCCATAAAATAGGCCTATCCCCATAAATATCCTTTAAAATTATTGCAGTTATCAATCAATGATTTAATATAAGCAATATAGTCTACTGCACTTTGTAATTACATTCTGGATTGTAACATTATCATTTAGTTTCTGGATATATTAACTCCAAGATATTTGAAAACCATAACTTCCATTGTTTTACTTTATCAATTCTTTTTCCAAAAAGTAGAATATTAGATTTGTCTAAATTAAAATTTAATTCCATGTTTTAGAAAATAATATTGCAAAGTTGAGCATCTTTGTCATTTCATGCTCATTATTTGCTAATAAGACAACATCATCAGCCCAGAATAACCCCCCCCCCCCCAAGCACGTGTCATTCACTCTGATACCAAGATAATTTGAAACAAGAATCTTTTAAAATTTATTCATAAAAATGTTAAACAAGATTGGGGACAAGACGCAGCCTTGCTTTACATTTACTCCCTGTTTAATCTCAAAGAATTCTGTGTCTCTCCGATTTTAACTATACCTTTACCTCTGCATAAAGTTTATATGACAACATAACATTTTTACTATGTCGACTTGGCAAGATATATATCGCCATGACGACATATAATTTTTACTATGTCAACTTGGCAAGATAATCTATATCGCCATGACAACATATAATTTTTACTATGTCGGCTTGGCAAGATAATATATATCACCATGACAACATATAATTTTTACTATGTCGACTTGGCAAGATAATATATCGCCATGACAACATATTTTTACTATGTCAACTTGGCAAGATAATTATATCGCCATGACAACATATAATTTTTACTATTATAATGTCGACTTGGCAAGGTAATGTATCTCACCATGGCAACTTTTAAAAGTTGATAGGTCGACATGGAAGGAAAACTTATCAGTACATGAGTCGACATGATATGTATTTTATGTCGACTTGACAAGATAATTAATCTTCAAGTCGTCAAGTAGATGGCACTTAGGCGCTTCCGTAATTAACAACCAACACAACACCACCATCAAGTAAATATGTTTGCAAATACTGTGCATTTAGCTACTGACATATTTCCAGCTTTGTTTTTCGGCAGTGCCGGTAATATTTTTGCAGAAATTATCGTAGCGCGATGATGAATAATCAAATATATATTCGTGAGTAAACATTTCTTATATTATATTTTTACTTATTTTATCCATCTCTGTCAAAAACCAACTGAAAAAGTCAACCCGGGCCTTGGTGCTTGTAGTAGATAGTTAGGCCTAGCCTACGCCTTGCACTACTGACTGTAGCCGAGGCCTGATCAAGTTCCAGGCAGGGGCGCCAACGTCGGTTCTGCCGGGCACAAGTTCGGCAGCGAGATATTCAATGCCCAAATAAGGGTTATTGTATGGAACGCCGAGTAGTGTAAACAATGCGTGAATTAGATATCAGAGTGCATGGCCAGGACAGCATTTTACAACGCAGCACGACACGATTCGATGTAGCGTCGGGTCTGTGTGAATAAGCAGGTTTCGATTTGGACGACGCAGCATTCTACGACGGGCAGTGGAGCATAAAACCGTACTGCGCATGCGATTACATGGGGAAGTCGTTCGTTGTGTGGATTTGACAACAGGCTTTAAGTGAATTGGCATTGTATTGACTACGGCAAAGTGAGTCATGACACTCGCTGGGGGCGCCTGTATAATTGATCACGCAATACGAAGGACCGCGTTGTCCTGTAAATCGAAACAGCTTTGATGTTGAGACGTGAAATGCATAGTAAGACGTTCATAGTTGACTGAATTCCCCGTCGCCCATTTTGAAAGCTCGCTAGTTAAACGCAGACGCGATGGTTTGCATCGGAGACCGTCGCTCCGTAGAATATTAAACATGTTTACTATTTCTCACAACAGCTCAAGACTGTCCCCGACTATTAGAATCACGTCGGGCTGCGTCGTACGACGCTGTCTGAGTTGGCCTTTAGGGGGTATACTGTACAGGGAAATCATCCGTAATCCAGGAGCCGTGTTAGCTGCGGCTCCAGAGTTATCATTAATTGGGTGTGAAAGAATGAAAAACATTCAACTTGGAAATAATGTGTTTAATCTAGGCATGAATGGAAATAAATTGCTTTAAATAGGTATAAGCTGCCAGTACTAAGGTGCCTAGTAACAATTAATTCAGTGAGAAACGTTCCCACAAATAGGGTCCAATGATACTCTTGGGAAAATAAAGACGCCGCCAATTCAAGAATGTTATCGGAGACGAAGTCTTTGTACGCCGCCTACTCAGAAATATTATCGGAGACAAGGAAAGAATGTCAAATGCTGAAAGTAGCCGACTGGCTTGATCTCTGTACGTGGAAACTGTACGAACATGTGCGATGGTTCAGGAATGTAGTTGTTACCCGAGTTGTTTGCCTATACAGACCCTATAATGTAGGGTCTGTGGCCATGGCCTATACGACGTGTTGTTTTCTTATGTATTAATTATTTTACATAAGCTTAATTCAGACATTGATTATGATCATTAACCTTTGTTTTGTGTTATAACAGTATTACTGCCCGTTAAATTAGGTTGAACTTTTAATCAGTTGGTGAATTCGCATTAGGTGATTCAGCAATCGGCAAACACTGTGCACACTCGTTCTGCACAAATGGATATGTTTTGCCCTATCCAATACAAGCATAACCACGGTAACATATTTCTATTGTTATCTTCTCAGTGAAGGGTGTTTACAGTTAAAGTTCTTGATTTTAGGGCGATGTATTTCATGTTTTTTGTTTCTAAAGTAATACACAGAATCATTGAAAAAACAATGCCGGTCAACATTCTTCTTCAATAATATGCATCGCCACTGTATTATGAAAATAATAAAATCCTTTGGTTTGATTATCAACATATAAATTTGTTTGTTTGAAATAGATAAAACGAATATTATGAATCTTAAAATAATATTATTAACTTACACAAACCTAATAAAATCCACTGTTTTGTTTTGTTGCATGGTTGTACTTAATATTCTCTGCTTGATTCATATTTTTTTTCAATTTGTTCTTTGTTAATTTAAAGATTGGAAATGTTTTTATGTATCTTAAATATTGTTTCTGCAACTTCTATGAATATTAATATTTTTTATGTTTTACATTTTTATACATATTGCTTGGTATGTTTTGTGGAAAGAATATCATACTAAATTATTTGAGGATTATTTATCACCATGATAATAAGCACCCTTTATTCTTACTCTTTTATCTGATACCCACTATCTTTTGCAACACCAATTAACCCCCTAGAGGAATATATCTAAGTATCCAAAGCAGGGATGGGCATAACATTTGGTCGAAGGCACCCTTTTTTTTTTTTTTTTAATTCTGGATTAAGAAGTTAGTCTAGATGATACATCTAGATGACAGTTGTACAGCTACTTCCTTCATTTCCTCATAATTTAGCGTTCATATGGAAATTTTAGCCAGATCATGTGGATGACCCACTTAATTTATTTCGCCATAGTTCAGTGTGAACCCACGTTAAGTATCAGACGATTATCATTAACAACTGTGACCAGTTAATGATGTGAAACCAACTTGGCTCATATTGTATAAAATCTCATTCCAATGGAACACAAACCAATAATTTATGAAGTTTTATTGGAGTTTATTACAAATCCAAATTTTCCCTACCTGAGGTGTTATAGTTCTGAATGCTCAGTATGTTCCCAAATGCTTGTGAAAAAAATCTTGCAAGTGGTTCAGGTGGGAATCGAACCCATCAATTTTGGTAAAAATTGTAAATAAAATATTTTATTCTACACTTTAATATAGGTTTGTTTGAGTATGTTTGATGACATGGGCCTATTGCATAGCTACAGAATAGATAAGAGAACCTTAACAAACTTCTTTCTGATGGTGAAGAAGGGGTACTGTGACCCCCTTACCACAACTTGTATCATGCCTTCACTGTTGGCCACTTCTGCTATTTGCTCTACGAGAATATTAACAGTTTGAATGCTCTCAGGTATGTGGACCAATAAACATTAATAATTGTTAACAATTATTAATTTATTATTATTATTTATTATTATTAATTATTATTAAATAATTATTAATTATTTTTAGGATAATTATAAATTTACTGGTATTATTAATTATTAAATAAATATTAATTATTAATAAATTATTTTAATTTTTTATAATTATGTATAACATAATTATTAATGATTATTAATTATTAAATATTTTTAACAATAATTAATTGTTAATTTATTATTATTTTATATATATAATTTAAAAAAATGAAATATATTGTAATGTATTTTTTAAAGTTTTTTCTGTGGTTATTATGTGCAATATTTGTTTTTTGTTTTAGTAATGTTGGAAGTAATTCAAATTTTATGTATCTATTTTTTTATATATTTTGAAGACATTTTTAGTGTTTTTTAAGTTTAGTAATTTTTTTAATGTGATATTTTTAATTTTTTTTAATTTTTTTTTTGTAGTTTTGTATATTTTATTTAGATATTTTTATATTTTCGTAAATACATTCATCTGAGCCTTTGGCTGCCTCTTGTATATTTTGTGTACTATAGCTGAATATTAAATACACGTAAATAAAAATAGTAACATGGGCCAAGATTATTTATTTAATTATAAAATGTAATATAAAATGAAATATTATAATGATTGCCAATAGCAATTTTACTCAATGTCTTATGTAATAAGTAGCAATCCTTTTCACAAGACAAGTTATAAATATGATGCTTTACATAAACTAGAGCCGTGTTCACATACCGTAATATAATTTTCAATCAATCGATCAATTTGTTATGGTGCCATTTCAACAGTCATTGCTCAAGGTACAGTTCCAAAAAAGAGATTATTAAAAAACAAAGATTCTTTCTGAGTACTGACTTAAAATGATCAAGTGAAGGTAGTTGTTTAATGTTCAAAGTAAATTATTCCAGAGTCTTGGTCCTGCAGTGCTTTGAGCTTGATCTGCCCAGCTATGCTTTCGCCTCGAGATGTCCAGGAGTGCTTGTAATTTTGGGAAAGAGAAAGGTCAACTAACTTTACCTTGGTCAACTGGTAGCAGCGCCATTCTGATTTTGATTCAAACAAACAGAAGATTTTACCTTGCTCGAGGCTAGTGACAGATAGCAGAATTTTGTGCTTGTATTGTCAGTCTTATACCCGATTCACACGTACAAAAATCTTACCAAAGGTAACAAAATGTAACCGAAAGTAACATTTTACGGCACGTGTGAAAGTACCTCTGTGTAATATCCTTGTAAAATCTTGGAACGTCTCGGTAATCTTTACCAACCACACTGAGGCTGGTAAAGCTTCCGAGATGTAGCATGGATGGATCTGCGCATGCGCAGGGATTTCAACACAACAACAATCTACTGTGTTTCACAGGGTTCTTTGAATTTTCTTCCTTCTGCAGACGATTCTGATCCACTAGAAATAGATAGGCCTAGTTTTTCTCAATGATGAATGAATTACCCTTGTTATTGATGTTAATTAGTAATGGTAGAAGAAACATAAAATGAACGTCAGGATGGTGTTAGTACTATTACTAGTATTATCAAGAGTCGACAGAAACGTTGGAAGCTATGCCTAGTTTAGTAGTAGTAGTAGTACAGCAGTTGTTAAGGGCATTGATTGCTTCGAATGTTTACTGTGATGGTGAGTTCAACAGTCCATCTGTGACAGGGGTTCTCAACTAGACCTAGGCTAGACCTATATCGCAGTAGGTGAAAAATGATTCAATGAATAAACACTGAATAAATTTTACACGACCTTGGCATTACCTTACAGACGCGTGTGAATGCTTTTTATCTCGGTAGGAATAACTCGGGAGATCGCTCGGTTACAATTTGTTACTTTTTGTTAAATTTAACTTCACGTGTGAATCGGGTATTATTCTTTGTCTATACTGTCAAATTCCATCAAAAAATTGTCACATAAAAATGTGATGAAACATAGAATTGAACACGATCAACTTTTTTTGATACAATTTGATGATATGTGATACATGTATGACATCATCGTTACCATATATGGGCACATCACATTTTTTTGTCGCATAAAATTTGATAGTGTAGACAAAGCTTAAGTTGTTAACTCCCCTCACTTCCCTCCCCCATTTCCGACCCCAGGAGCGGCTCATGCCATTGAATTGTTCATTTTTATTTTCATATGGAAATTGAAATACTTGCACTATTTGTAGCTTGCCTTTGTGATGATCTTGATCACCGTGGAAACAAACAACAGCTTTCAGGTTCACTCTGTGAGTTTTAATATTTGGTTGCTTTTACATAATTTTTTGACTTAAGTAAAAATTGTTAGTTGGTTATCTCAATCCCCTTTTATTTGTGTATTCTCATATTTTTTTGTTTTTTTTTAAAATCCAGAATATAAAATTTTATTTGGCAAAAACATGTGACATGCCTAAATATGGTTATGATTACATCACATCATGACCATATATAGGCATATCATGACCATATATAGGCATATCATGACCATATATAGGCACATCATGACCATATATAGGCATATCATGACCATATATAGGCATATCATGACCATATATAGGCACATCATGACCATATATAGGCATGTCTCTTATACACATCTTATTGTCAGTCTTATACCCGATTCACACGTACAAAAATCTTACCAAATGTAACAAAATGTAACCAAAAGTAACATTTTACGGCACGTGTGAAAGTACCTCCGTGTAATATCCTTGTAAAATCTCGGAACATCTCGGTAATCTTTACCAGCCTCGCTGAGGCTGGTAAAGCTTCTAAGATGTAGCATGGATGGATCTGCGCATGCGCAGGAATATCAACACAACAATCTACTGTGTTTCGCTGGGTTCTTCGAAGTTTCTTCCTACTGCAGACGATTCCAATCCACTAGAAACAGATAGGCCTAGTTTTTCTCAATGGATGAATTACCCTTGTTATCGATGTTAATTACTGTAGTAATGATAGAAGAACAAGATATACATAAATGAACGTCGGGATGGTGTTAGTACTATTACTCTGTATTATCAGGAGTCGACAGAAATGTCAGAAGCTAGGCCTAGTTTAGTAGTAGCTAGAGCTACAGCTTGTCATAGCTTATAATAGCAGTCATAGCCATTTTACAAAATATATCTATATCTTTGCTGTAGCACATCAAATGTCCTACATTTGCTGTTTATATCATTGTGATATTGTCTGTTATAGCCGAGTTAAGTATTAAAGGGCATTAAGTGATTAAAAGCATACTAGTAGCTGGTCACCAGCTATACCTTATAATGGCAGTCATATAGCACCAATTTAAAAAAATATTAGCAATTACAGGGTTAAGTATTAAATAGTGATTAAAATTAAGCATTAAATACGGTAGTGTTTAGAAAGATGGTAGCTGGTCACTATCTAGCTATAATATCAATTATATTACAGCACCAATATCACAAAATATAGCAATCACTGATTAAAAGCATGTTAGTAGCTGCCACAATGGTTTAACTGCATTTTTTACACAACGTTTGCAATGATAGGCGTTAGAGTTAAGCACGCCAGCAGTTTACCATTTACCATTGAAGGCTTTTGCTCCTATAGGGTTAGGTACGTCAGCAGATTACCGTTGAACAGACGGTTGCAACGATATTCCTTATGGTTAAACACGTCAAGCGTTGGCGCCGATAGGCGTTAGCGTTAACCAATTTAGCACATTACCATTTAAAAGGCGTTTGCAACGATAGGCATTAGGGTTAATCAAGCCAGCAGTTTATCATTGAATAGGCATTTGCGATGATAGGCATTAGGGTTGAGCACATCAGGTGAATAGGCATTTGCGAAGATATGCGTTAGGGTTAAGCACATCAGGGGTTTGCAACAACAGGCGTTGTAAGCACATCACAGGTTTACCATTGAATAGGCGTTTGCGGACGATAGGCTTTAGAATTAAGGACGTCAGGCGTTTGCGCCGATAGATTATATGGTTATTTTGTGGATTAAGTTTGAAGCACGTCAGTATTTTACCATTGAATAGACGTTTGCGATGATAACAAATAGGAAAAATAAAATATTCAATTGCAAATGACCAGTGAAAATGCCTATACATTAGTGTACACAGTTCCTACTGGCGACTCAGTCTGAAAATCTTATTAACACTAATTCCTCTTCATTAATGCAATGGCTGGTGCGAACACCTTAGCGGACATGGTAAAATGGCTGACATCTTTATCCTTAAAGCCTATCGTTGCAAACGCCTGATGAAGTGCTTAAACCTAACGCCTATCATCGCAAACGCCTATTTAATGACAATCTTTTAATCGCTATTTAATGCTTCCTAGTGATGTTATATCTTGTGAAATGGGTGCTATATGACTGCTATTATAAGCTATAGCTATTGTATAACAGCTACGAACATGCTTTTAATCGCTATTTAATGCCCTTTAATATTTAACCCAGCTATAACAGACAATATCACACTCGCATAAACAGCAAAATAGAACATGTAATTGCTAACAGTTTTTGAAATGGGTGCTATATGACTGCCATTATAAGGTATAGCTGGTGACCAGCTAATTGTATGCTTTTAATCACTATTTAATGCCCTTTAATATTTAACCCAGCTATAACAGACAATATCACACTCACATAAACAGCAAAATAGAACATATAATACAGTTGATGTGCTACAGCAAAGATATAGATATATTTTGTGAATGGCTATATGACTGCTGTTAGGCCTATAAGCTATTACAAGCTGTAGCTAAAATGAATAGCTAGGCTAAATGCTACCATATATTAAATGCTAGGCCAATCATGCGCTTTAATGGCCTGTTCTACATCAAGATAATGCTATACCGCAACCTGGGTACCCATAAATAAGTGGCGGCCGCCAGATAATTAAGTGGCGGCCGCCAGATAATGGATCTGAAATTTTAATTCACTGGTGACACTAACGGGCTTCCGTACATATGTTATATTATTGGCGCCAAATATGGAAAATGCTATGTAAGGGCAAGGGTTTCAAGTCTCCCACAAATCCTTGAAATCTCCTGGAAATTGGCGCTCCCTCGAGAATCTGACAAAAAGTAACTTGACATACGAATGTTTTACTGCTGTATTATCAATAGTCTTGTGGAAGTCAGTACCAATGGGTAGACACCTTGACTGTCACACAAATGGGGTTCTAGGGTAGACAAGTTTTAAATGGGGGGTCTGAGGTCATCCTTTAGAAAGTTTTAGTTTTGCAGCATGGAAAAGAAACTGAGATGTCTATTAAAAACGAATACACTCCAA